ATACATTGTGCATTTAGATCTCGCTAAATGATTGTGTGTGTGTCTACTATACCAGCATGTTAGTAGAATTTTGTATAACAGAGACTTAGTGTCTATCGCCATCCACCATTTCGTCCTCCATGTGCGTCTGTTACCCACCTGTTGGTATTTGCTCATACCCACCTGTTGGTAGCTTCTAGCGTACCATTGGCTCTGACTATTAATGCGACCTGTTTCCATTGCCTTGTAGAGTGTTGTTCTGCTGAAGAGGGCTGTGAATCTGGGCAATACAGAGGCCCTGGTGGACTTGACCAATATATATCTGGTGGGTGCTATATGACTTGCACGTGTGGACAAAGCATGTGTACATGCTCATATGTTGTTGTTTGTGTGTACTTTCTTCAATCTAATGTTCTTTTGTATCTGACCAATATATATCTGGTGGGTGCTATATCGCATGCACGTGTGGACATGCATGTGTACATGTGCATATGTTGTTAGTAGTGTGTATCTCCGTTGCAATCTCCAGTGTACGTGTGACCATCGTTTGTGTCGTGTTTGTATGTTGTTGTTTGTGTGTATCTTCTTCATTCCAATATTCTTTTGTATCTGACCCATACATGGCATGTAGTTACAATCTCTTGTGTGCCTGTGACCATCGTTTGTGTACGTGTTCATATGTTGTTGTTCGTTTGTATTCATCGGTTTCTGTCTTGACAGGTTATACCCGACACCTGACACCCGACACTTGACACTTGTCACCTGATGCCTCCATGCTCTTACCCTTCAGTTGGGCAGAGGCAGTGTGCCGATAGACTTTGACACTGCGCGTGATCTGGCGCTTAAGTTAATCGACAAAGAACACGGCTACGGCCACAGCGTCATAGCCATGTTGTACAGCTACGGCCTGGGAGTGGCAGAGGACCAGACCAAGGCAATGCTACACTACTCAATGGCAGCCATACTCAACGACCCTCATGGCACCATGGCCATGGCTTACAGGTGGGTAGGTGGTGTATGGTGGTTTAGAGGGGAGGGAGTGGGGGGGGGGTGGTATGGTATCATGGGCTGTAAAGGAGTTTAGGGTATAAAGGAGTGAGTGTATGATATGTTGTAGCACTGCTCGGTGGTGGCCATAGTCACTGGCAGTCGCATTCCGTACCGTCTACACAACACTGGTGTAGGGTTTGTCGTTTAGGGTTTAGGGTTTTTCGTTCAAAGTTTAGGGTTTAATGTTTAGGGTTCAGCGTTTAGTGTTTTACATGTAGGCAGCATTGGTGTGAGCAACTTACGGTATATATATATATACCTGCCGTCTTCTTCTTCTTCTGACCATGCGTGTTGTTTCCCACTGGTACTACCATCACCAAATGCAGGGCGAAGATGGAAGTGATGATCTCGCGCAGCTGTTCACATGCACATCAGCTGTACAAGGCCTTGGCCTCGAACGGTAAATTGTGTGTGCTTACACCTTCTAGCATCGACGCGTAGCCGAGTGCTCTATGTCCTGTACCAAGACATCGTCGCGGTTTAGTCTTGGCATGTATCTATCTATCTACCTTGTATGACAGAGAGTATCTATTTACCTACCTTGTATGACGGGGAATCTGTTGTACTCAACTGTGTCCTGCATTGTATCGTTGCTGTGGTGCTGGGCTGCATGCAGGTGTCAAGTGTCAAGTGTCATTTGCATTTGGCGGGTGACAGTTCACAGCCTATCTATCGCTTGTTGGGCCGTGGTGTGGCATTCGACGAGACTTCTGTGCATAACGCGTACAATGAGCACTGAGGATATGTGTTGTCGTGTATGTTTCAACTGTATGATGTCTGGTTGTTTGCATAGCGTTTGCGTGTTGTCATTTATCAGTCCACCGTATAACCGTTGCAGTGGTTAAAAGTAGCCACTGCTTTTGTTCAATAATAACTGCATTGTGACTGTGATCGCTTTATTTCTCAATCGCTACATTTGTTACCATGGTTTCTTTGACTTGTTGCATCGCTATATATTGTCACTGTGATCGCCTATATTTATTAATATCTAATGGTTGCCTTGGTTACTTTGACTTGTTGCATCGCTATCTATTGTCACTGTGATTGCCTATATTTATTAAAATCTAATGGTTGCCATGGTTACTTTGACTTGTTGCGTCGCTATCTATTGTCACTGTGATTGCCTATAATTATTAATATCTAATGGTTGCCATGGTTACTTTGACTTGTTGCATTGTAGTGGTCCAGGATATGACTGACACAGGCGGCCGTTTGTCGCAACGGGAGAGGATCAACTACGACACCTCTGTACGCCTCACTTCGTGTAACGAATACGTTCGCCGCGTTTTATCTGTCTGTATATATCGAGCCTTTGTTTATGCCGATATTATTTGATACGTATTCGGCGGGTTTTAGCGTGTTGGTGATCTGCCAGTTTAACGTTTACCATAGGCGTTAACCCGCAAGTTACTTCATACCTATAACCACGGTAGTAGGCGGTCTCTATCCTCAACGGCTTTAAAGGGCATACCTGTCATTATTGCTCTCCGATGTAGCTGTGTATGTGTGTATGTGTGCATGTAGCTGTGTATGTGTATATGTATATGTAGCTATGTATGTGTGTATGTAACTGCGTGTTTGTATGTGTGCATGTAACTCTGTATGTGTATATGTAGCTGTGTATGTGTGTATGCAACTGTGTGTGTGTATATGTAGCTGTGTATGTGTGCATGTAACTGTGTATGTGTATATGTAGCTGTGTATGTGTGTATGTAACTGTGTGTGTGTATATGTAGCTGTGTATGTGTGTATGTGTGCATCTAACTGTGTATGTGTGTATGTAACTGTGTGTGTGTATATGTAGCTGTGTATGTGTGTACGTAACTGTGTATGTGTATATGTAGCTGTGTATGTGTGTATGTTTGTGTGTGTTGTTTATTATAATTATACACACGCGGTTCTCCTCTGCACTAACTGTGTATGACGCATATATGCACATCACCATGTAGCTATGCACGTGTTCTTTACTATGATACATATACTCGTGATATGATCTATTGTGACCTATATACACGTGATATGATCTTATATGATCTATATACACGTGATTCTCCTCCGCACGTGCGGTGTGTGACGCATACGTGTATATCACAAGCTGTGTATGTGTCTATGTTACTGTGTATTGACTGTGTGTGTGTGTATGTAGCTGTGTATGTGTGTAGGTAACTGTGCATGTGTGTATGTAACTGTGTATGTGTGTATCTCCGCTGTTCTCATATATACTACCCACGTGATTCTTCTCCGCATATGCAGTGGTGGGCTGCGCAGATGCCTCTGAACAAAGTCTCCCGATCGTTTCAATTCTACAAATGGTTGGCCGACAGAGACGACGTGCGGTCGCAAGTAAGTGCTCTGAACAGTGAACAGAGAGCACCTTACCTCCATCGCTCGTATATATATATATATATATATATATATATATATACATACATATATATATCGTAGTAGCAATGTGTGGTATTGCTACACATGAAAGTACACAGTACTATCACTACACAGCACTACACAGCAAAGTATATGGTTTACCCTTTTCTCTATCGTCCTTTGTAATGTGTATCATTGCTACACCTGAAAGTATATAGCACTACCACTACACATGAAAGTATTTGGTACTATTACTACACATGAAAGTATATAGTACTACCAATACACATGGAAGTATATAATACTACCACTACACATGAAAGTATATAGTCTACTCTTTCCTCCATCCTCCTCTGTAGTGTGTACTATCACTTCACCTGACAGTATATAGCCTGCCCATGGCATAACCGTAGCGTTAGGTGTATCGTGATAGCTGTCGTGGCTGTCATGCGTTGTCACCTGCTGCTGAGCAGCACAGCCGACTGTATTCCTTGTACGACACTATTACATAGCTCCACTAGTATGACTGTATACCTTGTACTACACTGTTACATAGCTCTACTAGTATGACTGTATACCTTGTACTACACTGTTACATAGCTCTACAAGTATGATTGTAAGCCTCGCCTCGTACTAGTACATAGGTAGACGAATCACAGGCATCTGTACGCCTTATCATGCTATCACATAGCTATACTTGTATCATACCATCACATAGCTATACTTGTATCATACCATCACATAGCTGTACCAATTTGACTGTACGCCTCACTTCGTACTATTACATAGCCAGACTAGTCACGTCATATGTACGCCTTCCTCGATACTCTCACTTTGCGGTCCTAATTTTGTACCGAACTGTCACCTCTGCTGATGTATTGAGTTCCGTGTCTACCTTCTCCTGAAATGCTCAGTACAATGTCGGGGCGCTGTATCTGCAGGGCAGCTTTGGTGTGCGGAAAGACGAGAAAAAGGCTTTCTTCTACCTTAACTTAGCTGCCAGTAAGTGTACATTCGCAG